TGGTACTAATCTCGGCCACTCCTGGGTGTTAGTCCCCAAATTTTATGTCTTTATTCTCTAAGTTTTAGTTCTTCTATTTTTAACTTTTTTTTAATTATAAAAACTGGGGAATGCGAGTTCCCAAGCAGTGATCAGGGGTCTAGAGGCCACCCCCTGTGAACCTGCCAGACTTGGGTTTCAATGTGGAGATCCCTAGGATGTAGTGCTGCTTTGCCCCAGGGATCTTGGGGACCATCAAGGACACAATCAGCAGTGCTGGGGGAGGGGCACTTTGGTACCACAGACTGAGGACTAAACCTGCTGTACTCTCTTTCAAAACATTTTACACCTTTTTGTTACAAAGACACATAATTTAGGTTCCCATATCAGCTGTCCAGTATTAAACTGGGTTTTCCACCTCCATGCTCTGTCTGGTGGGAGGGTCCTCCTGAAGCTGTTTCGAGACTCACTTGGACACTCACTTTCACTTACTTGTACACCAACAATTTTTGGATTAAGCCACCAAGAGCAGCAGTACTTTCAACTTCATGGCTAGGTGCAGTATTTTCTCTCAGTACCACCAATTAATTTGTGCTTTTGCTGTGATCATCTTGGTGCTAAAAAGTATGTTTTTTTTTGCTTTTTGGGACACACCCAAGCAATGTTCAGGGGTTATCCTGGCTGTGCACTCAGGAATTATTCCTGGCTGTGCTTAGGGGACCATATGGGATGCCAGGGATTAAACCTGGGCAGGCCATGTGCAAATGCCCTACCTATTGTACTATATTGCTCTGGTCCCAAATACACACTTCTGTCTCAGGTCTTCAAGACATACTACCACAAGTTTTTCATGGAGCTGGAGAGTAAAACTGGTAAGAAGCTCTTAGCAGTGCCAGGGGTTCTCCCTGAGCACAAAACCAGGAGTAATCCTTGAGGTGTAGCCAAGAACAAACAAAAAGTTTTGCCAAATCGGTTCTTACATTCAACAAAGGTTTTAATAGCTTCTATCATTTTGCTCTTGTTCTTCGGGATTGTCACAGTGAAGAACAGAACATACCTCACAAGCACTGATTTTCTCCTTTTAAAAAACCCAGAATCACTATTTTAGTTTATTTCCAGGTCAGTCACTTGACCTGGTCTCTGGCAATATTAACAAGACATTCCGTACGCTTAGAAGCAATGAAGAAAAAAAAATGAGATTAGATCAAGCTCAGAGGAAAACGACATAAAGAAATGTAACAGACAAGATTAAGTCTGAGGCTGTCGCCAGTGGGAAAAAATGCTCATCCATTGCATAATGAGCACTAAGCACCGCCAACAAGCAATAAGTTTGGGGGCCATGGTCATATTTGTGACCCCATAGTTTTGGTTTTGATGGGGCACACCCAGTGGTGCTCAGGATTAATTTCCTGGCTCTGCACACAGGGAACACCACAGGCAGGCCTGGAGGACCATACGGGGCTTCCAACAATCGAACCCAGGTTGGCCACCTGCAAGTCTAGCACCCTCTACACTGCACCATTTCTGCAGCTCTGAACCCCGTTATTCTATGCTTCAGAGCACTGCTCGAGGGCCACCACTGGCAGTGCTGGGATTCGAACCAAGGTAGCAGTTGCAGCTGCCTGCTAGGCAAGCACCTTAATCTCCGCCCCACTGACCCACTGGTGTGGGCTCATGACTGGACTTAGTGGCAAAGGGCATCATATGCAGGCTGTGGTTAGGTAAGGCATCTCTGAAACATGAATTGTGACTCACGCGATAATAAATCTTTGTATTTCTTTTGTTACAAAATTTGAGTGATCATATCCCTACATCTGTCAACTCCCAGGATAAAAAACACCATGGCAGAAGCAGCTTAGCTTTTTCAAAAACAAAAAGGATCGAGGAGCCTCTGAAACTGGGAATAGACAGGATCAGAAATAAAAGTAGACATAAGGAAATGTGGGACTTCCTAGGATGTAGTGCAGTGCATTTACTGAAATTTAAGGGGGGGAAAAAGGCCTTGGTAATTACATGTAACTCAAAAAAGGAAAAAACAGTGAAACAAATAAAAACCCCAGAGAACAAATTTGGGTAAGATGATGAGGTCAGTTTAAGTACATTAAGAACCTGAAGAACTAGCCAAGTGAAACTAAGCCAAAGATTAGTTACCCTTATAAAGAGAATAGAGAGCTCTTTCTACCAAATGAGAACACAATGAAATCTGCAAGTCAGGCGTGAGATCTAGTCACAAATAGTACTGGCCAGTCTTCAGAACTGAGAAATGAATCTGTTGTTTAAGTGTCCTACCAGCTGTAGTATCTCCAGAGCACCCCACCCCCCCACTCATGGGAAAGCTTGGACATGCTGAATACTTTTGGAAGCCCTGTTGCTATTCATGTTACAGTGCTTATAACACGCTTCCAGGCACAGCCAACATTATTGTGAAACATTAATGTTTCAGAAACATTATAGGGCAGTTAACTGCTATATGGAGGTAGGCTAGATGAAGGTAAAAGGTAAAGGTAAAGGCCCTCCCGTTGATCGTCGATTTGCTCGAGCGGGCCCAGTAACGTCTCCATTGGAGACTTTGTTGTTACTGTGTCTGGCATATCGAGTACTCTCGGTAGCTTGCCGGGCTCTCCGAGAGGGGCGGAGGAATCGAACTGGGGTCGGCCATGTTGGCCGCTTGTAAGGCGAATGCCCTACCCGCTGTGCTATCGCTCCAGGCTAGATGAAAAGTACTGAAAAGTACGAAATCTGATTTTTTTCTGAGCGTTAACAGGCTGCCAGCTGGTTGACTCTGCTTTACCTCACCTTTTCACTTAGTTAAACAATTTACAAGTCCAACATATTTTTTGCTAAATATGCTTTATTTAAAGGATAACTTTATTAAGTACATAAAACGAGCTTATTCTAGGTGCATAAAATTTTAAAACTTAAAAACTACCACCCACACCCAGATATGAACAGTGTAACATGAACATTATTCACAACACAGTCTCTTACAAATGGCACATCTTTGTATGCTACGTTATAAAATTGCACTTTAACAGTTTTCAAATCGGAACTGTAATTAAACCTTTCTTATTTCCATGACTTATGACTTCCACTATCCTTAAATCCTGACTGTTCATGCAAACACGAGTATCCAAGTTGGAGGCATATTAGGTGTGCTGAACTTCTTGCTTTCTTACTGTTTTTTTTTTTTCAGTTCCATCCAAAAATACGCGGTAGTTCTATTTTTAACCTGTACCGTCACAATAGAAAAATCGACTTACAGCAAACTAGCACACACAGCAGTAACTACCGATTTTCCCTCGGTGAAGATGCACATAAAATAGTGTTATAGGTGAAGATGCACACAAAATAGTGTTATATTCAGTGTCCCCCAACAAGTACCGTAAAAAGGGGGGAAAAAAACCCCACACTATCGGTATTAAGATACAAACCCGGTCCTACTCACCCCTCAAAAATATTTCAAACAGGGGAAAATGAAACCACTCCTCTTAAGACCTGAAAAGGCCACTGTGCGTTAAAGAACATGCGTGATCTTTAAAAAAAAAAACTACATGCTAAGTACAAAAGCGTTGATCCCCGCGGCCCTGGATCTTCCAAGGTACCTTTTCCCGCTGCAACAAAGACATCAACAAAAACCGCCTTTGCAAACTTTGCACGGAGCTTCCTATCAGCCTCGCTAGCCCAGATCGGTTGCAAGCTGCCGAACAGGGCGGCGTCGATGCTCCCTAACTCTCATTCTCCAGGGGCTGCAGCACCGCGCGCAGCATCTCCCCCAGGCGCGGGTCTCGCGCCGCCAGCTCCCGCAAGGCCGGCACGTCGGGGACGACGGCGCGCCGGCCCCCGTGCACGAAGGCCAGCCGGGCCGGGTAGAGGACGCGGGGCTCCAGGCCGTGGTCCTGCAGCACCCGGTAGACCGCGCTCCACTGCCGGCGGGCCTGGAGCACGGCGGGGGAGAAATCCGAGGCCAGCCGCACGCCCTGGCCCGCGTAGGTCACCTCCTTCCGCTGCCGGGCCAGCTGCACGACCCGCTCCTTGTCGCCCAGGCGGCGGAAGGTCACCAGGATGTGCCGGGGGGTGCCCTTCTGCTCGTCGAACCGGGCGGGGACCCGCTGCGCCCGCTCGAGGGGGAGGGGCGGCTCCCCCGCCGCCGCCGCCCCCAGCTCGGGGAAGTTCTCCCCGAGCAGCGCCTGCACCAGCGCCTGCGCGTCGTTGGCGTGGTCCTCGGCCTCGGGGACGCCGATGAGGCGCAGGTTGTACCTGCGGGACCGCTTCTCGGCCCCGGCCACGGCCCGGCCGCGCCCCCGGCCCTGCCCGTCGGGCGGCGACCCCCGATCGCCGGGCTCGGCGGGCGCGCGCGGCTCCGGGGGCGGGACGGCGGCGGCGGCGGCGTTGGCGTTGGCGTTGGCGGCATCGCGGAACTCGAGGCCCCGCAGGCGAGCCGACATCAGCCGCTTGATCATGGTGCACAGGCCGCGCAGCTCCTGCGACACATTGCCCTCGAAGCGGACGCGCTCGAAGCTCTCGGCCAACGACTCCGTCTCCAAAGGCGGCATGGCCCCGGCTGGCTTGAAAAAGAAAAAAAAAAAAACAGCACGGCGGGGCGTGGGAGCGCCGCCGCGGCGGAACGGGCTTCCACCTCCCCTCACCCAGGCAGCATCTTCCCCCCCCACCCCGGGGTGTTCCCCACACCAAGAGCGCGGCGGGGCGTTTCCTTACCTTCCTCGGCAAGCGAGCGCACCAACAGAGCGAGAAACAGAGACGAACTCGCCCCGCAGCCACGAACGCGACTTAAAAAGCCGGAGTCAAGATGGCCCCTTCTACGTCATCTTCGCGCGCCTCGCGTCTGGGCCAATCGCCTGCGCTGGAGGGGGAAAGCCACGCCCCCGAGCTCCCCCGGGCTCCGCCCCCTTCCTCCCTCCTCCTCCCCGGCGTGGGAAGACGACGCCTGCGCAGCCGCTGGCCCGGGCTCCCGGCTTCAATGACTCCGCTGGAGATCCGGTCCCGCCCCGGGGGCGGGCCTGCGGCGGCGCGGCAGCCAATGGCGCGGCGGGTGAGAGTTGAGGGGTGGAAGGTGCCCGGCTCGCCGGGGCTGCAGGTTGCTCCCAGCGCGTGGACCGCGGGCTGCGTGGGCAACATGGAGGCGATCGTGGACGACGAGCTGGATGAGGAGGAGCAGCTGGTGAGGAGGCACCGGAAGGAGAAGAAGGAGTTGCAAGGTGATGGGGAGGGGAGGAGGGCAAGCCCTGGGGATCGGAGGGTCATCCCGGATCTGGGCAGGGGCGCCGGGCGGGCAGTGCCCTGGGCAGTCTGCAGCTGCGATCGGGAGCTGCCCGGACTTCCCTGCCTTCGCCCCAGGGGCCCTCCCATCCCTCCTGGCGCCCCTTCAATCCCTTTGAGTTGGAGGAGAACGTCGCCCAGTCTCCCTTCCCCACCCCCACCCTAGTGACCTGCAGGGTGGTGTTTTTCCCAATACCTCACCTGGGCTCTGGAAGAATTCTGACAGCACGTCATTTCCAGCGTGCATTTTTTTTTTTAAGCTTTTGCCTCCTCGCCTCTTTCCCCCCGGAACTAAACCCAGAATTGGTTCTTGCTTCTGTGTATCCTGGGGGTCTCGGCTTCAGCTGGACTCTCCTCTGCAATTCAGACTCTGATCTCTAGGACGACACCAGCTCACACAACCACGTGTTCCTCCCTCTCCCTTTTTTTTTCCCCCCCTGCCCTTCCCCTTTTGATGGTCCCCGTTTTTATTTTTTTCTTACACCTTGGAGTTTTGACTTCATGATTTTGGGTGTCTTTCCAGCCAGAATTCAGGGCATGAAGAACGCCGTTCCCAAGAATGACAAAAAGAGGAGGAAGCAGCTCACTGAGGATGTCGCCAAGTTGGAAGCGGAGATGGAGCAGAAGCATAAAGAGGAGCTGGAGCAATTGAAGATGGCATCGAAGGAGAAGGAGAGTAAGGTGGTACACGGAATGCTTTGTGCCTACGGCATTTGTCAGCCGTTGTCCTTTTGTGAACTGCTTATTATAGGAGGGAGGGAAATGCTTATTATAGGAGGGAGGGAAATGATCGCTTAATTTGCATATGCATCACTTTGCTTTCATGATTTGGGTGATCAGTGGGGCTGGAGTGGTTCAGCAGGTAGGGTGCTTGCCTTGCATGCCCTCACCCAGGTTCATTCCCCCGTTTGTCATATGGCCCCTAGATTTCCCTCCCTCCCCTTCCCCCAGGAATGGTCCCTGGACTCAGAGCCGGAAGTAAGCCCTGAGCATCACAGAACATGCAGAACATGATCCCAAACAAAACAGAACAATTCAGTGACTAGGTTTACATGATTACCTGGTTTGCATGCTTTTTGTAAGGGAGATCAGCACACACGTAGGTTTCATGGTTTACTTGTCCCAAACGTAAATTTGTAAAGCTGACTGCAGTGGAGGACCAGATTTTGAGACTTAGAATTGCCATAGAGTACCTAGGATTGGAGCATGAATACATTTATAAGCTTGCTCAGCATAAATTTCGCCACATATAGAAATAGAAATGCTAGTTCTAACACAAGGGTTTTCAAGAATTAAATGTGCTGTTGGTTACCAGTTTTAAGTTATAAAAGTGCTTTGTGAACAAATTGTAATGAATGAAATTTACCGATGTTTCTTGGGCAAATTGGAACATGCTGTCACTTTAAATTATTTTTATCAGTTGTGCTAATATATGTTGTGGATCAAGCACTTTAACATATTACATGAGTTACCTCAGATAATTCCTGTAGCCATATAGAGAGATATTAATGAAGTAAGTAAAATAGTCGCAGATTAAAAGTTCTGTTCCGGGTTCCTAATAGCTATTGAGGTCTGTCCTGGCTTCCTAATAGCTACTAAAATCCAAAGCCAAAATTGAAAATCAGAGCTCTGTAGATAATGAATGGCAATGCAGTTTGGGCCAGCATGGTAGTTTATTGGCGAGGTTTTAGATAACAAGAATCATAGACTCCAGAATCTCACTCCAGTTTTGGTTCTTAGAAAGTTCTTATGTCTGTACAAGAATTTTACTCACCTAACTCTAATTTCACAAAACACTATAACCAGTATTAAGTAAACAACCACTCCTTGAGGTCTTAATCTGATTTTGATATTTTGATCATTATTGCTGGATTTGTTATTTTGTCACTTGTCACTTGTCATCCTGTTGTTCATTGATTTGCTTGAGAGTGTGCCAGTAACATCTCCATTTGTCCCTATTGCATGCTAGCATAGCCCAGTGTCGTATTGGGGCCTCTTTCAGGGTCAGTGGAATGAGGCCCATTATTGTTACTGTTTTTGGCATATCAAATACACCACAGGTAGCTTGCCACGCTCTGCCGTGGGGGCGGGATACTCGCGGTAACTTGCCGGGCTCTCCGAAAGGGAACTGTTAGTGTTATTTTATTTTAGACCCTGATGTGTTTTATGTATGTGTCATTTCCACAATTATGTTAGCTGATAGTTGGGCTAAAAAAATACTATCTACCTGGGTCGGCTTCGTGCAGGGCAAATACCCTACCCATTGTGCTATTGCTCCAGCCTCATAATTTTAATCAACTATTCTGATGACAGACTGGAAATAGCACAGCGGGTGGGGCATTTGCCATGCACGTGGGCGACCTGGGTTTGATTCCTCCACCCCTCTCAGAGAGCCCAGCAAGCTACCAAAAGTATTTTGCCCGCAAGTCAGAGCCTGGCAGCTACTCATGGTGTATTTGGATTTATTTTTTTTTAACTTTTGCGTTACACCTGGAGATGCTCAGGGGTTACTCCTAGCTCTGCATTCAGAAATTACACCTGGTGGTGCTCAGGGGACCATGTGGGATGCTGGGAATCGAACCCTGGTCGGCTGCGTGCAAGGCAAACACCCTACCTGCTGTGCTATCACTCCAGCCCCTCGTGGTGTATTTGATATGCCAAAAATAGTTAACAACAAATCTCACAATTCATTGTGAGACATTACTGGTGCCCGCTCCAGCAAATCGATGGACAACGGGAGGACAGTGCTACAGTGCTAATCCCAATAGTTAAATGCTGTCGTCATTTATTTCATTAAGCAAACACCTAATACATGTTTGATTAAGACTAGCTTTACTTGCAGCAGTAATCACATTCAATTTTGGGGTTTTTTTTTTTGTTTGTTTGTTTTGTTTTGTTTTTGGGTCACACCCGAAAAGCATTATTCCTGACTCTGCGCTCAGGAATGATTGTGCTCAAGGGACCTTTGGGATGCTGGGAATTGAACTGGGATTGGCCGCATACAGGGCAAATGCCCTCCCTACTGTGCTTTTGCACCAGCCCCTCACATTCCATTTTATCAGTGGGGAAGGATCGAAAATTTCAAGTTGTTACAGGGGTCAGGAGTTGTACTCGTAAGTTTCCACCTCATTAATATCCAGAAAGATCCCTACTGCCTCATTGGCATGGAGGAAGTTAGTGATGAACTGAATCATCAGTGTAGGAGTTTATATCTCCCATAAGGACTGGCCACGTTGGAAAGGGAAGGGCGGGCGTGCTGTTGAAAATAAAGAAAATATACCGAGAGTACTTAGATCAATTATTATGCTTTCTAGAAGGGAGCAAGTGGGGATGAGTATTATCTTTGAAGAGCTGTAAGAAAACTTCTTGAGGGGCTGGAGTGGGACTTTAGCGGGTAGGAAGCACCCAGCCCGGCAAGGTTCGATCCCCGGCACCCCGTAGGGTGCCCCAAGCACTGCCAGGAGTGGTTCCCGAATGCAGAGCCAGGAGTAACCCCTGAGCATCACTGGGTTGGCCAGCCTTTCCCTATTCTCCCCCGAAAAAGCAAAAGAACTTCTTGGGAATCTAACAAATTCTGCTTTGAAAAATGAAATAAAGAACCAAAATAAAACATGTCATCTACTGCAGTGTCTAAGGCCGTTCCTCAAATTTTGGCAGGGAAGGGTTTGAGCCATAACTCCAAGAAAGTGTTTAGAGGAGCTACTCCCAGCTTTGTGCTCAGGATTGCTCCCTGGGGCAGTGCTTGTGTTGACCTTGTCCCGATGCTCGCTGTAAGCCCTGTACTATCTCTCCTGCCCTCAGAGATTTCAATTGTGGGGCCACACATAGTTGTCGTTTTCTGACATATAATGATCTAATACTTTGAGTAGTAATCGAAAAAGTCTTTTCCATTAACTTCTTAATGGTTTTTGTTTCCTCCAGGTAGATTCTGTTGCTGTCGACGTTTCAAACTTGGTTCTTGAGAATCATGCGCCTCGGATATCTAAAGCACAGAAGAGACGGGTATGAAAGTCAAGTCATCAAATGTTTATGTTCTGGCTGTGTGCTTAGTAGTGTTTAGGTATTATATCTGAAGAAAATGGGCAAAGCAAAGTGGTGGCAGTTTCTTGTCATAAGAACTTGCACTTATTTTCTGTGTGTCAGCTACTGTGCATCACGTATCACAAAAGTCAGGGCATGAAAACAACCTAAATGTCCAATGACAGATAAATTTTTTAAAAATGTGGTATATATGCACACAAAGGAATACTATACAGCAATGCAAAATGTGTAGATTATAGGAAATCTCATTTAACCCTCATATTCTATGAAGTAGGTGCCCCTATTTTATAGAGAAGAAAAATAGACTAACGCAATATAAAATGACACACAGTTTTGCAGTGTTGCAGAGGGTGGAACTAGCAAGGAGTGTGGAAAAGAATACTTTAAGAATACATTATTAATACTTTATGAATACTTTACGAATATGTTATCCCAGAAAAATAATTCCCAATCATCAGAATGTTGGGAAAGGTGATCCTGATGCACAACTTTGTTTGAAAAAAAATATCCTGAGATTAAGAGAAGCATTAAGGCTTTGAATCTAGATGTAAAACAAGATGTAATTTAGGTGTACGAGATTCTCAGAGAATTGTGAATGTATCTATGTAATGACTATATGAAAATTCAAAGAAGGAAACGTTTGTTGTGTTAAAAAAGAGTGAGTTGAATATTTAAGGAAATATAGTTATCAAGGGCTGGAGCGATAGCACAGCAGTAGGGCGTTTGCTTTGAGCACAGCCAACCCAACCCAGCTGGGCCAGGTTCGATTCCTACGCCCCTCTCAGAGAGCCCAGCAAGCTACCAAGAGTATCTCGTCCACATGGCAAAGCCTGGCAAGCTCCCCATGACGTATTTAATATGCCAAACACAGTAACAAGTCTCACAATGTTACTGGGCCCGCTCGAGCAAATCTTTGAACAACGGGAGGACAGTGCTACAGTGCTACAGTTTTCAAGATAGAATATTTGAAGTAGGAGAAAGAACATGCATCTAAACAAATGTGGGAGTGAAGTTTTGTACCATCGAGAGCTATAATTAATTGATTGGAAGTAGTGCATAGGGGGTTCAAAAATATGGGAATGATTATTTTGCTTTGAACTAGTAAAAGGGTTTAAATAGATTTATTTTTCCATCCTATCAGATAGTGTATTGCTAACAACAGGGTATATGTGGTTTTCTGCTTTAAATTTGTTTATTTGTTTTGGGGACGCATATTGGTGGTATCCATGGTCTGCTCCTGATTAGATACTCCAGGGACTATGCAGTGCAAGGGATTAAGCTCTGGCCTCTACTTGCAAAACACATGCTGCATCCCATGAGCTATTAACCCAACGCCCACTGAAGAAATTTTTCCTCTTTGTTCCCAGGGCCTCTTACATGCAAAACATACTTTTTACCACTGAGTTACACCCTCAGATTCCTATTTTTTTTTAATTTCCTTTGAAGGCTGAGGGGATGGGGGCTAACCCAGTGGTGCTCAGAGGTTGGTTACTCTTGGCTTTGTGTGAAGAGGGTCATACCTGGTGAGGCTCAGGGGACCATTTATGGCACCGGGGATGGAACTGAGTCAGCTGCATTCGAGACACATGCCATTACCCTTTTACTATCTTTCTGGCCCCTGAATTTCTTTGAAGGCAGATGTGCATCTTAGAATTTGGTGCTGCATAACTGAACAGTGTTGAGTTTGGTGTCAGTCAGATGGAATGTATTAATTCTCTCTCTTGTTGTGACCAGGTCAGATTTATAGCCTATTTCTAGCCTGTTTCTCATAATGTGACTATTACTTAATTTGTTGTTTCCAAAGCCCTTAACAAAAGACATAGAGATCGAATGGATCAGCAAGTGATTGTATTGTTTACTGTATTAAATAAACAATATATGGATATGGTAATATTATTTATGCCTTTTAAAAATGTCAGTCTTGCCTGGGATGATGGTACAGTGTATATGGATTTGCCTTGCATGTGGCTGACCAGGTAAAATTTCTGGCACCCCCTAAGGTCCCCCAAATTTCCTGTCAGGAGTCATCCCTACCTAGATTCAGGAGTAAGACATGAGAACCCCCAGGTGTGTCCCGTTTCCCTCCCCCAAATTTTAGCCTGAGAGCAGTGTTTTTTCTGTTTGTTTGAAGATTCAGTAAGTGGTAAATATTTCTCGTAACCTGTATACAACTTTATTTTTGAATACATGTCATAATTGTGAATTAAGGTTTTAGGGTAACTTGGAGATGATGTGGTTTAACTGTTTATTTAACATGCATGAAGGTTTTATAATTGTTACGTAGTTTGGACAGATAAAAACAAAGGACATCTTTTCCTTGGGAGTAGCAAATAAAGTGTTTGTTAAAATTGCCTCTACTTAGTGACTTATACATCTTTCGTAGCCTATTTAATTCTTTCTGTTTTGATTTTTTGGGGGCCCCTCAGTTGTGCTCAGGGTTCACTCCTGTTGTGGCCTAGGGGACGAATGTGGTGTTGGGGATTGAACCAAGCCCCTTACCTGCTACACTCTCTTGCCAGCCCCAGTTTATTTCTTTTTTAAGTTAAAAAGAATTTTATTTGCATTTTTGTAGACCTGGAGGGAAGTGGAGAGAAAAATACTTCCTACCCAGTCATCTCCCCCAGCCTGCCTTACTGTCCCGAATTTTAATTGCAGTCCCAATTTAATTCTAAGAAAAAAAATCTTGGAGTAGTAACTTGGTCTTGCATCTTAAGAAACTAAGACGAGCAAATTAAACTGAAAATAAGTAGAAGAAAGAAACTAAGGTAGTGAAAAGAATCGACATAGAGACCAGCAAAAGTAGAGAGAACAAGGATTCAACTCCTTCCTTCCTGTGTTTATCAAAATTGATTCATTTCTGCCTGGATAATTAGGCAACAAGAGAAAGAAATGGCATAGCTGAAATGACTGCCTTTCTGAACTATGCTCTCAAAACTTTTAGGGTTGTTTATGGTTAATGACATTAACGCTTGATAGTGAAGTCGCCCCTGGAAATATTATCTAAAATAATACTACAGTAATAGAATTCTAAAATAGAAAACAGTAAAAGTTCATAATGCCTGAGAAAATTAAGCCAGAAAATAGGATGAAGTGTTGGATAACAGGGTCTTTTCAACCTTTGGTTTGTTTTTGCTGAATATATAGCCATTGAAAATCCAATACCACGCGCTAACCAGCCAGGCTAACCAGCGAGGATGAAAGCCAGCTGACTGATAACTGGTCATCAGGAACCATGCTGGTCTCTGCTACTAGCATGTCCAAACTTTATGAACATTCATACATGAGCATGACAGTATTGTAGAGAAAATACGTTCTTTCTTATCTAGAAAAACGTTGTAATTTCTTTAAAAAAAATTCCTGTAACTTAAGTTGGAAGCTCTTTGATATGGTAGAAAGAGTTGAAGGTAGGATTTAGCATAACTGACTTTCAAAAAAAGAAACAAAAAACAAATGTAAGAGTTGGAATGATTTTCTTGAGTGTTGTTGTCGCTATATACCAACATATATCACCATGGCTCCAGTTTTACTGACAATATATATGCGTATGAGTTAATACATTATTTTTCATCCTGCATATATTTCCAGTGGGCTTCATTGGTGCCACTTTGCGTCCAATACTTTGGTTGTAGTAACCAACCAGCTCAAGGCCATTGTAGGAAAATACATTCCAGGCTGGGGAAGAGCTCCAGTGGATTTCCCACCAGTGGCCTGGATAGAAAATTCTTGCTTCCTAATATGCAGGCAGGGCAGGATGGAGAGAGAGGGTACAATGGGATTAGTGCTATAGAGGCTTGAGTGATTTTGCTGACCGTATGAAGTGCCACTCCCGGTAACTGGTACCTATTGCCGGTGACAGTTGCGAAGTTCACTGTAGCTCCCATCTGCCCGTTCAGGTGCTGGCGAGAAGGAGTTCTCTTGACTGTCCCAGATCACTGCTTGGCTCTGGCCAGATGTCTGGCTTTCGGAAGTCTTTCAGTGTGCTGTTTCCTCCGAAGAGGGAAACGAGGGGTTTGGGATGAGATGCTGTCCAAAATGCTTCTTGTCCTTCCCTCTGCAGTTGCTTTTCAGCCCTTTATAAAGTTATAGTGCCATCTTGTGTTTTAAGAATTTTATGTAGCTGTGGTCCACAGACGTAGGTATGCAGCTCCATAAAGAGGTTCTTGTTTCTCTGTCCTGGCTTGGGAGAAATAAGTTAAATAGCTGTCTTTTTTATTAGGGGAAATGATAACGGTTTTGCTTCAGGGAACTGAGAAATCATTTTAGGTCCATCAGCTGTGGCATATTATAGGCACATAGTACAGTCTGTGATATGAAGTTAAATTGAAAATTTCCTTCCCATTCCCTCTACCCCCAGGAGGCGTTAGAGCTAGGGAAATGAAAACCTTTCTATTTTCCTGTTCTTTTCGTCAGTTCATCATGTATTTTAGTGTATTTTGTTTAACTATTTTCTTTTTGTCTTTTGGTTTAACTTTTTTTGTTCTCTTAAATTGAAAATCACTTTTCCCCTTGAGCATACAAGTTCCTCTCCTCCCATTAAAGAAATAGAAGAGTACATAAAAGCATCTATACACGTGCACACACACAGACACATAATCTTATTTTGTAATCGTACTCTCTAGAGAAAAGCACTTTTAACTATTGGGTGTATTTCCTTTGCTTTGTGGAACTATATACACATACACACGTGCATATATTTTGGTTTGGGGGCCACAAACATTTGTGCTCGGGGCTCACTCTCTGCTCTGCGCTCAGGGGTCACTTTGGCAGGGCTCAGGTGACCTTATGTGGTATCGGGGATTGAACCTGGCTTGCACGGCAAGTACCTCACCCGCTATACTATCTCTTTGGCCTCATTTTAGTGCACTGGAAATATCACAACAGATCTTTGGAGCCGGTACTGAGATTGATAGTGATCCTTCAGAGTAACTCAGTCTGTAATATTTAAATTTTTATAAAGAAGTTTGTTTTCACTAACTTTAAATCAGAGGGCATCTTCTTTTTTTTTTTTTCCCTTTATTTTATTTTATTTTTTTTAAAGTTGTAGATTTACAATTTTTTTTCTTTGGTTTCAATCATACAATGATCAGATACCCATCCCTCCACCAGTGCCCATCTTCCACCACCATGGATAATATCCCTCCCACCCCCATCCCCCCATCCCCCCTGTCTCTGTGGCAGGGCAATCCCCTGTGTTCTCTCTCTCCTTTTGGGTGTTGTGGTCTGCAAAAGAGGCATTGAGTGGCAAACATGTTCAGTCCATAGTCTACTTTCGACATGCATCTCCCCTCCTGGGAGGATCCTCCAAACATCCTTTATTTGGTGCTCCCTTCTCTATCTGAACTGCCCTTTCCTCTAGGATACCCGGCTGGCCTCTAAGTTATGGAGTAATCCTCCTGGTGAGAGGGCATCTTCTTACGTACACGTTTTTCATTTAAGATGGAGTTCCTGTCCCATTCTAAGGACTTTTGCGTATTTATTAATGTCTCCTCAGTGATTTAGTATATTAATGAAGTGTAATAAATTAAAAAGCTAAAATTAGCTCAGAATTAAGTATGTTACCTGATGTGCTTATTAAGGCCTAAGACAACTCTGTAGCACTGTCCTCCCGTTGTTCATCAATTTGCTCAAGTAGGCACCAGTAACGTCTCCATTGTGAGACTTGTTGTTACTGTTTTTGGCATTTCAATATGCCACAGATAGCTTGCCAGGCTCTGCTTTGCAGGTGGGATACTCTCGGTAGCTTGCTGGGCCCTCCGAGAGGGACAGAGGAATCGAACGCGGGTTGCCGGCGTGCAAGGCAGACGCCCTACCCGCTGTGCTATGACTCTAGCCCTAAGGCAGCTCAAATTTTGAAAATGATGAAAACCTTGAGAAACATGACTTGTTGCTTTCAAATAGACTTCAAAGAGAAACTCAAAATTTCAGTAGAGTTAAGTACCTTACGCATGCAGATAAGGTTGTTTCCCCTTCAAACCAGTTCACAGAATAGAACATTCTTCAAGTCCTGAGCTCATCAATATGATTGTGTTTGTGGAGGAAGGAGGAAAGCTGGAAAAAAGTTTTTTGAGAACCCAAGACTTTAATTTCCTTGATAAATTTCCGTTAGTCCTAATTTTCACGAATCAACTTTCTACCCCAGGATAAAAAAGCCGCATTGCAGAAGGAACGGGAGGAGAGAATAGCAGAAGCTGAAATCGAAAACCTAACTGGAGCCAGACACGTCGAAAGCGAGAAGCTTGCAGGAATATTAGCGTCTAGACAATTGGAAATAAAACAGATTCAGTCTGACGGTCACTGTATGTATCGAGCCATTGAAGATCAGCTGAAAGAGCAAGAGTGCCCGCTGACCGTGGCTGCCTTGCGGAGCCAGACTGCTGAGTACATGCAGAACCATGCACAAGACTTTCTGCCATTTTTAACAAATCCCAACACGGGAGACATGTATACTCCAGGTAGTTTGTTTTGGGGGACGGCGGGGGTGGGGGTGAGGAAGGGGAGGTAGGGGTTGGTTCAGTTGTACTCAGGGGTTATTCCTGGTATGAGCTCAGGAGTGACTCCTAGCAGTGCTCAGGGGACCATATGTGATGCTTGGAATGACACATGAGGCCGAAAGGGTGCAAAGCAGGCTACTTAAGCCTCGTACTGTCTGTGGCTTGGTTTCATTTTCTCCTCCTGTGTCTTATTGTTGTTGAACTGGTGATTATTGGTAAATAAATAATCTGTTACTGAGATTCTAAGAAATAGTCACACAGACCTTAGCGGTAAAGAGAATTTTAGACTTGGTGAATTGGTTTCTATAATTTTAGCAAATACCAATACATTTTGCTATATTAGGATTGTTTTATATTTAACTGTTTTGTCATGAAAATACTTTTTTATGTAAGACAGAATTAAACATAGGATTTAATCCTATTATATAAAAAAAAAAAAAGTTCCCAAGTTGATATTTCACAAAGCTAAACATAGCTTTCACCAATTTCTGGAAGCGGAGACCATGATGAGAGAGTGAATGAATCCTGACTGGAAAATGGATGTAGAAAATGAATCCTTGTTTTACCAGTATTTTGTGAGACATGTATATATATATATATATATATATATATATATATATATATATGGTGTTTGTTCCAATTTTAACTTTCTATATGAAAGTGTATATGCTTAATAGTATATACTATTAGACTGTTCTTAGATCTTCCACCTCCTCAAGGCTGATCTGGGAAACTTTCTTTGCCTAAAGTTTATACTGAAGTAAATAAGGTCAGTACTTCCAAAATAACAATTGGAGGTACTTTTCGATGTTACCACTGGACATAGTGAATCAGCTTATTTGTACTTTTTTGTGACGTTCGGGGATTGGACCCAGAGCTTCAAACATGTCAGACAGGCACTGCACCATTGGTTGATCTGTCCCAGGGCACTCGTTTGTCCTTTTTCTGTTATATTTTGGGCTATACCCAGCAGTACTATAATTACCACACCATATTTGATGGGGTTCAGACAGTAGGCAACAAATCAGAGAGGGAAATATTATATATCTGCCTATCAGAGAGCCCGGCGAGCTACTGAGAGTATCCTACCTGCACGGCAGAGCCTGGCAAGCTACCCGTGGCGTATTCAATATGCCAGAAAGAGTAACAATAACAGGTCTCGTTCCCCTGACCCTGAAAGAGCTCCAGTCATTGGGAAAGATGAGTAAGGAGAGGCTGCTAAAATCTCAGGGCTGAGACAAATGGAGACTTCACTGGTGCCCGCTTGAGTAAATTGATGAACAACAGGATGACAGTGACAGTGACCCAACAGTGTTCAGAGGCCACTCTCAACTCTTTGCTCAGGAGTAACTCCCAGTGGTGCTCAGAGGGTCATATATTGTTTGGGAATCAGACTGGAGTTTGGCTACAGTACCCTAGGGGGAAGGCGCTATCCCTCTCACCCTCATTGCTACCTGTACCCTGATTCTCTTCATTCATTCAAAGGGAACCTGCTTTTCTAGGGATAGTGTTTTGTATTATAGTCTTTTTTTATGGTATTGTTGGGCATTACGTAGTCTCTTGCTGAAGGAAGTAAGTAGTAGTGGATTGCTTTACTCCTGGAAAATGTTGGAAAGTTTTAGCACTGTAGCACTGTCCTTCCGTTGTTCATCGATTTGCTCGAGCGGGCCCAGTAACATCTCCGTTGTGAGACTTATTGTTACTGTGTTTGGCATATCGAATACATCATGGGTAGCTTGCCAAGCTTTGCCGTGCGGGCAAGATACTGTCAGTAGCTTGCCGGGCTTTCAGTTAAAATTTGGATCTGGAGAGTGAATAAGATTATGGAAAGAGCACTCAGAGAAGGAAGAAGTTTACACATTGGCCAGTGTCGCCAGGGATTGTGGGAGCTATAAATGGGATTTTTGTAACATGAGTTACGAAAAATATGAAATGCCATGATGTGTTTTATCTATTCTCTGTAGAGGAGTTTGGAAAGTACTGTGAGGATATTGTAAACACAGCTGCATGGGGAGGTCAGCTTGAGGTAAGTCTGTAATTATTCATGGTGTTTGCGAATTGTTGCACTGTTTCTAAATCCTGCCTGTAGGTTTTGAACACATTTGTAAGATGATTCCAGTTTCTGTTTGATGATTACATTTTACAAAAAAAGTATTTGATTTTCCTTTTTTGGTGGGGAGAGGTGGGGCGCAGGGCTCACTCCCGGTGGGCCTGGGGGATTATATGGGGTGATGATCATACCTGGGTCAGCCACATGCAAGGCAAATGCCCTACCCCGCTGTCCTATCTCTCTGGCCCCTCTGTTTGCTTCCTCTGACAGGGCGTTGGAATAGGGCGTTAATTTAGGTGTTTGATTAAAGTATGTATTTTTGGGCAGTGAAATAGTATTTTTTTTTATAGCAGGGCACTTGATCTGTGATGGCAAACATTTGCCTCCATGATTTTATTTGTGATGCTGCTATTGGAAAGCTATTTGATTTTCTGGACATTTTATGTTCTAGCGAGCAATAGCACAGCAGGTAGGGCATTTGCCAACCCGGGTTCGATTCCCAGCATCCCATATGGTCCCCTGAGCACCGCTGGGGTAATTCCTGTGTGCAGAGTCCGGAGTAACCCCTGTGCATTGCAGGGTGCAACCCAAAAAGCAAAAAAAAAAAAAAAAAAAAAAATTTCCTGACTTAATCACTGTGGGAAGAGCAAGATCTCTGTTTTATCCGAAATAGGAAATGGGTGTGGAGAGTGAATTCAGCGTGGCATGGGGTTAAGCCCTGACCCCCACTGTCTCCTGAGCACAGCTGGGAGTGGACACTGCCCCGAGTCCACCCCCCACTCACCTGAACTGGCTGTAGCCTCCAGGCACAGGTGTGGCACAGAGACAGGACGTAATATTTTTCGTGAAATTTCCCATCACATCCTACCACGAGGCGTCTGTTCCCATTGTCATCAGTTCCCAGTCTTGTCACAGATGGACCCAAAAGCAGCGTTGGAGGCGCTAGTGTTCACACGTCAGGAAACGAGATGTTCAGAGACGTCATAGGGAGTGAGCCAGGGTTTTTTTTTTTAACGCTCTGATGACGTTTCAGCCTGTTTGCTTTATATCCTCTAAAGCTCCTAAGTGGTCCCTCTGTTGCAAGTAGCCCGACTGATTGGGAAGTCGAGGGATAAGAGCAAGCTGAGTTTTTGGGTTCTGTCTTTTCCCTCCTCTTGGGCTTTTCATGATCCCGGGGATGTTCACGCACCCCCCTCCCCCCATGCTTGAGCTTCTTCATTACTGAACGATGACCATAAGAGCATGAACCCAAGGATGTGGACAGTAGCTAAGGCAGCGTGCCCGGAACTCGGAGATAGAGGTTGTTAAGAGAGAGGACCGGGTGGATGAGGCCAAGAAGACGGTGATGATTCTTGTGGCTCTTGAGTCGTCACTTCCTTCGAGAGCGCTTTGTTAAAGGTTTGCCATAGTACTTCTAACCGCATTTTTCTCAGCATCTCTGTATTTGTACTCTCTCTGCGCCACCAGAGGGAACTGTGTCCATTCCTTAGATACGCTTCGACTTGTGTCTCTGAAACTCGAAGTAATTTTCATAGTGACTTTGTGACCATATTAGGTGTAATTAAAGTTCCTTAAACTTCTTATAGGATTCACATATTAGAGAGTAGTTGAGTGTTTTTTTTTAATTAAGAAAAGCCAATTAAAGTTGGACAAAATTCTCCTTAAGTCGTTCGTCTTTGAATTCATTTGAATTAAGAGTTGCAGCTTTCAGTAGGGCTGTTTGAATTCTCAAAGAGAAAAATCTTCATGTGATTTATGAAAATTTAGACGAGATGTTAAGATTTCTAGAATTTGCTTCAGACCCTCCACTGCATGCTTTTAAAATACATTATATGGGGCTGGAGAGATACATAGCTGGTAGGTTTATATCTGGTACCACTTGCCTTGTGCACACCCAGCCCAGGTTGAAGCCTGGGCATCTCGTGTGGTCCCCAAGCACCACCAAGAGTGATGCAGAGCCAGGAGTAAGCTCTGAGCACAGCTGAGTGTGCTCCCAAAACCACATAAATTAATTAATTAAACTAATTAAAGCACGGTGCAACACACTTTTGTATTCCTGAAGAAGTAACTTAAAAAAATAATTTTTAATTTTTTTTCCAGTGCTGGGCATTGAACTTGAGGTGTTATGCATGCAAACCTAGCTGTCTACTACAGACCTGTATGCCTAGCCCTTCTGCAGTAACTTATCCCCCCCAGCCTCCCGCCATTTCTTTGTGCCCTATTTGCGGTTTCTGGGCAACCATGCAGTGCCAGGGATAGAAAGCCTATCATCACCCTGTGGTGTGATCTCTCCAGCCCCTAAGGGCATTCTTGTTTGTTAAAAACCAGGGATGTAGCTCAGTGGCAGTGGGTGTGCCCTTGGCACCTGACGTCCTGGGTTCAAGCACTGGCCCTGCAGAAAGCAGAAAAACCAAAATATCCCCAGGGGACCAGGTGTCAGAGGGCATGCACTTAGGGAATGACTGTGCTTATAGATCGTGTCATTTGTGATGTGAGAGGCACCGGTCACCAAAAATTGGAGACTGGTAAATGGGCTGATTTTGAGGGAAACTTGGGTTAAAGAATCACACTTCCTCAGCTAAGGTCGTTTTCTTGCCTCATGTGGAACATCAGGTAGGCATTTGGCTTTATTCATTCTCAGATGTTAGGTCTGAGAAGCAGAACAGTAGATTATACTAAAGATTCTTATGAGGATCGAGGGAATTAAATTAGTATATATGGTCACTGTCACTGTCCTCCCATTGTTCATCAGTTTGCTCGAGCAGGCCCAGTAACATTGTGAGATTTGTTAACTGTGTTTGGCATATGGAATATGTCACGGGTAGCTTGCCAGGCTTTGCCGTGCCAGCGAGATACTCTCGGTAGCTTGCCGGGCTCTCCGAGAGGGGCAGAGGAATTGAACTCGGGTCGGCCGTGTCGGCCTTGTGCTATCTCTTCAGCCCGTTGGGATGGGAAATTTTAAGTGCATTCAAAAGTAGGCTGGTTTCCAATCTTATTTTGCCTACTTTGCCCCCCTTTTACAATAAAATCACTCAGCAGCCCTCCTGAAGGTGTACCTTTTTCTAGTGAACAGACAGAAAATTTGTCCTCCTGACACCCCAGTTACTCTGGTCACGGTCCTACCCCCCTCAGATTGCTCCTTGCGCTCCTGCGTCTTCTACTTTGGGGTACACTGTTCTGGTGTTCACTGGTCATGAAGCCAAGCTGGGCCTCCACACCCTGGTGTGCTGGGTGCTGGGTGCTGATAGCTCCCAAAAGCCAAGGTACTGCCAGGGTTTGAATATTGCCCACTCAGTTTAATAGATACTATATTTATTTGTGTATTCCACAGAGCGCTAAGAAGTCCCCACGGTATGTGATTTCTGTTCTGATCAGCTTCTCCTTTTCACGGGTACCTTAGGAGTCTGGGACTGGAGTAAGCTTCGTCTGCTTTTCTTTTTATTTGGGTCTGACTGTTTTCTTTGCTAATTAATACGTTTTCTTTCTTACAGCTAAGAGCACTGTCTCATATTTTACAAACACCGATAGAGATAATACAGGCTGATTCTCCTCCTATTGTGGTTGGTGAAGAATATACCAAAAAGCCATTGATGCTTGTGTAAGTACCTAGAAATTTCTACTGCTCGATTTTTCATCATTAAGACCATTTTTTTTTTTTTTTTGGTCTTTGGGTCACACCCAGCGATGCACAGGGGCTACTCCTGGCTCATGCACTCAGGAATTCCTCCTGGCAGTGCTCAGGGGACCATATGGGATGCTGGGAATCGAACCCAGGTCTGCCACGTGCAAGGCAAACGCCCTACCCGCTGTGCTATTGCTCCAGCCCCCAATTAAGACAAAATTAAGACAATTTTGAATTAATCAAAAATGACTTTTATTGAAAACACTGTGGTTTATAAAACTGTTCATTATACAGTTATTTCAGGTATTTAGTGATCCAACACCACCAGTGTGACCTTCCCTCCACCAGTGTCCCCATTTTCCCTCCTATTTTCAACCTGCCCCCTTAGGCACATAACAGATTTACTTGTTCCAACCAAGCTTTAAAGAACGGCAAATAGAATGATCAGAAAATAAATTAGTAAGAGCCAATTTGTGACTGCTATATGATTTTAACCTCTGTAAACAAGGAAAATAAAACTCTTTAATACAATATAATAAAGTGCTTCTCATTTACATAAGTAAGTTTTTAACTCTGGAATCTAAAATATATTGCATTAAATTTTATTTCCTAGTTGGATCTCATTATGGTAATAATCATGCTTTACCTGTCGTTAATAAGTCTTTTTAAAAAATTATGTAATGATCCTAAGCGAAATGAGTCAGAAAGAGAGGGGACAGACATAGAAAGATTGCATTCATCTGGGGAACATAAAGTAACAAAATTGGAGACTAACACCCAAGAGTGGCCGAGATAAGTACCAGGAGGTTTACTCCATGGCTTGGAGGCCAGCCGCACACGCTAGGGGTAAAGGCAGCTCAGATAGAGAAGGGAGCACCAAATACAGGCTGTTGGGAGGATCCTCCCAGGATGGAAGATGCATGCTGAAAGTAGACTAGAGACCGACAATGCCTCTTTTGCAAACCACAGCATCCGAATGGAGAGAGGGAACAAAAGGGATTGACCTGCCACAGAGGCGGGGTGGGTTGGGAGGATGTTGAGATTAGTGGTGGTGGGCACTGGTGGAGGGATGGGTGTGTAAACTCAAAAAAGGGCACAGCAGCGACAACGGCTGCTCTGTCTTTCCCGCCGCCCGCGTTCAGTAGTCTCACGCCGGTTCCCCAACCCCGGGGAGGTGGATGGCGATGGGCAGGCGAAGGAAGGAAACGAGGGCCAGGCTGGTTGGTCTTAGTTGCAGTTTATTCCAATCCTCTCTCCATACATTCCTGTCTCCCTCCTCTGCCTCCCCCTGCCATTCTTACAGTCTCATTATATCCCCCTGCATCAGGGATTGGGGTAACAATTACACATTGGTGCAATCACAATCAATAGAGGTAGAATTCTTTCCCTCGGGGACATCTGCTCCTAGGACAGATCCTCATTATCAGATCAATCCACCCTAGAGCGGGTTCCCCTGGCTGTGTTTCTCCTCTCCTTGTCTAACAAACGTGTAAGCGTATGTAATATAAATCATTTTGTATGGATACAGTAAGAAATACCTTAAACTTATAGAATTGCCCTCCTAGGGCCATCTCGATCTCAGACTACAGTGCTCAGGCCAAATAGTCTTTCCCACCCCTAACAGAATCCTAGTCTCGTCGTTACTTTTGGATCATGAGAGCATTTGTCTATGATCAGACTCTTAACTTATAGTTAAGAATCGTGGCACTTTGGCCTGGCCCATTTCGATGCCAGGGTAGCTCACCACTTGCCCTGGGTCTATTCAGTCCCTCGTCAGGACCCTGCTTTGGGGGTATTAGGAACTAAGGGCAATTGAGGCTTAATTCAAGAAAGCACATGCCCGGGAGTGAATAATATTCAGAGGCAATTAAATCCTGAGTTAGAAAGCATAATGTTAACGGTCTTCCTGTATCTATACAAAAGGGGCATTGCTTTAAAGTAAACTGTTCATAAGGCATAAGGAGAGGAGAAAGGCAATATTTCACTCATACATATAAAATCATAGATTTCTGGGGAATCTAACCTTACAAATTAAGAGAGTCTGATTAGGGGAAAAGCTGATTAACTGGTGGGGGAGGAGAGCATAGGGAAGAACTTACAGATAAACACAATGGAATGGAAATGCCTCAGGAGCACTGATGGGTGTAACCTGATAAACCTAAGCTCCTTGTGGAGAAAGGGAGAAAGGACAAAGCAATGTCATCCTACCGATGGCTACTCAATCACTGTAACTGAAACCCAAGCACAAACATTTGTAAGTCTACAACTGTACCTCATGGTGTTTCAGTAATAAAAAATTTGTAAAAAATTATGTAATGATATATTGTGACATTTACATAAAAAAGGTAAGGCCTGCTTATGTGAATTTCCCCCCCTACGTTAACATATTAACATAACCATATTGACACTGGTTTGCAGACTTGTTCATGAGGATTTATTACAGGCATTCAATATTCCAACACCAATCTCACCACCATAAGACAATTTTAATGTTGTATATGGTGATTAATAGAAAATTGAACTGTATCTGTATAAAATCATGTTGTAGGCAGATTATAGAATTAGCTTGTCAGAATGTGTGACTTGGGTAATTTTAAGCATCTAGTTATTCTTGTGTTTAAGAATAAAGTGATTTTTGATTTTGGACCACACCCAGCAGTGCCCGGGGCTCTCTCCTGGGTCTTTGCTCAGGGATTATTCCTGTTGGGGCTTGAGAGACCATCTGGGTGGCTGGGGGGGGGGGGGGGTTCAAAGCCGCATTCGAGACAAGCTCTCTGCCTGCTACACTATCACTCTAGCCACAGAAGAATAAACTAATTTCTTAAGGCGACAATGTTTTAGAATTATCTTGTTTATATTTTCTCTTTTCGATATTAATGATGCTGAAACTTTAAATAAATTAAAAATCTTCATGTGACTTATTTGTTCCTTAGAATTTCATTTTATTTTATTGTAAGAGTATTTTTTCCTGATTTAAAAAAAAATCATGGAAATCCAATTTGGGTATTTCAGTAAAAGTAGTATTTTTCGCTAACCCCTCAAAGTGAGTAATTACTGGCATGACAATAGTTAGAAATTTAAGGGTTTTTTTTTAAATTTATTTATTTTTATTTTTATTTTCATTTTGTTATTAGTGAAACACCATGAGGTACATAGACTTACAAATTTTTGTGCTTGGGTTTCAGTTATACAATGATCAAGTACCCGTCCCTCCACTGGTGCCCATCCTCCACCATCACAGGTCCCAGCATCCCTCCCACCCCTCGTCCCCCATCCCATCTTGCCTCTGTGGCAGGGCATTCCCTTTTGTTCTCTCTCTCTCTCCTTTTGGGTCCTGTGGTTTGCAAGAGAGGCATTGAGTGTCAATTATGTTTGGTCTATAGTCTACTTTCAGCATGCTTCTCCCATCCTGGGAGGATTCTCCCAACACCCTTTACTTGGTGCTCCCTTCTCTACCTGAGCTTCCTTTTCCCCTAGCACATGTGGCTGGCCTCCAAGTCATAGAGCAAAATTCCTGGTACTAATCTCGACCTTTCCTGGGTGGTAGTCTCCCATTATGTTACTTTATGTTCCCCAGATGAATGCAATCTTTCTATATCTATCCCTCTCTTTCTGACTCATTTCGCTTAGCATGATACTTTCCATGTAGTACCACTTGTATATAAATTTCATGACTTCATCTTTTCTAACAGCTACATAGTACTCCATTGTGTAGATGTACCAGAGTTTCTTTAACCGGATCATCTGTTCTTGGGCTTCGTAAGCAGTCGGTCTTTCCTTCTTCCCCTCCTGTGGTGATTGACCTGCCTCACACTCTGCTTTCATGGTTACTCCATCAGTTCTTCCTGATGGCTGGTGTTCCTCAAACAGAGTTGAAGTTCTAAGATGTCCACGTCATCTACTGAACGTTAATTCATTCAGAGCACCGGGTTTTATACGTCTAATAAACATCTATATCCTGTGAATTACAATCATCATTTCTCCTTTTTTTTCATTTCAGATATATGAGGCATGCGTATGGCCTAGGAGAACATTACAATTCTGTTACGCGGTTGGTGAGCACAGATACGGAGAATTGCAGCTAGTCTAGAAAATGTTGCACAATTACGGTTTAGCACAGTGTGCTGATCGGCGTCTTCACACCAAGTCTGGATTATTGGAAAATGTTACTGAAAAGTGGAACTACCTTAAATCAGTTTTATGGCAACCCTTGCTAACAGGTTTTTTTAAAAAAAATACGTCAGAAAAACTCTAAAGTGTCCTTTAGTGATATTTAAAAAAAACCTTTACAGTCCTTTGTGGAGAATGTCATTCATAAACCAAGATGGTACCTTATTCAATGATTTTCTTTTTTTAATTAGTGTAAGTTTCTGATCATTTTGTTCTGTGTTGAAATAAAGTTGAAATGTCTTTTCCTTCTCATTATTTTCTGTGACCAATATAATTTTTTTTAAAGAAACGAAATGACTCAGTCTCTTTATCGTTGCAATAATGTTATAGTGATGGCAAATTTAATTAATGCTTGGAAAAGGAACTTGATTACAGTTTCCTCAGTATTGACAGGATTAATGGCCCAAAGCTTTTAAAATAATTCCATTGAATTACAGTTTAGAAATTTGCTACACTAGGTTAGAGTTTTAAATATTCGGGTGGGATCAGCTGTTACATTTTTTATAAAAAGACCTATTGAAAGGCAAATGGGTCTTTCTTGTCTGATTAAAGCCTCTAAAGAATTACAGATTATCCTTTGTGTGTAATTTTTAAAAAGACCCAATAGATGACTATCTTTCTAATTCCTTTGTTATTACCTGCTATTTTGTTTTTCTTTTCTTTTCTTTGCTGTTCTTTTCTTTTTTGTTTTTGGCTTATGGGGCGTACTCCTGGCCAGGCTTTGAGGGATGCTGAAGTCAAACCTGGTACATTCAAGGCAAGTTCCCTACCTGCTCCGCTAAGCAGCTTCCCTCCTTTACGGTTTCTTAAACTTCAGACTGGAAAAATTTTCTTGATTATTTTTATAAGTTTTCTGGTATGCTTGTGTTTTCTCTTATCCGCCTCAGCTACTTTGCGTCCATTGTATCTTTTCCATTAAGACAACTGATGTCTGTCTTAGTCTGTAATTTCTACAGGTTGAAGAAATAGTGATGGAAAAGGGTGCCTGGCCAAATTCACTTCAAATTCTCCCTCTGTTTCTATCCTTCCTCTCACCTTCTGTTTTAGAATTTTCTTTAGGATTAGAAGAATGGCCTTATTTATTATTTTCTTAATACCCTCTTTCCTGTAATTTAGATATTTGACAATTGTTCCGTTGCATGTATGAGTGTAGTTGAAAGCTAAATGTCTGGGAGCTAAGACCATTGTGAAAATCATTATACAGTATTTTTTTAATTATTATTATTAGCTTGTGTTTTATTATTAGCATGAATGGTTTTATTCAGCTCAGATTTCAGGTTACCCCTACCAGTATTCTTCCAAGATACTGCCCTTGTACAAATGACAATTTATTCTCTAAGGAAGGCTTTTTGTTGTTGTTTCGGGTCATACCTGGCTCTGCTCATAACTGGCTTGGTTCTGGGACTGGCTCTCAGCGGTCCTTAGAGAATTTATCATATCTTAGTCCCACTGCGCAGTACTCACTCAGTCCGTTGAACTCCTCTTTGCCCCAATAGGAAGTGTTATGAAAATGAGATCTTTCAGTTTGAGGTATTTTATTTTTTCCAAATCAGAAATATAAATAACTATATGAAGTTTATCATACTTGAAGTTTTATTCCCTGAAATGCAGTTCATTTGGGGATTTGGTTTTTTGCTTTGGTTTGGCTTTTGGACGACGTCCAGTGATGCTCAGGGCTTACCCTTGGCTCTGTGCTCTGGGATCATGTCTGGGGCCGCTCAGGGACCTTACGGGATGCTGAGGATTCAGCCCGGGTCACCCGCATGCAGGTCAAGCTCCCTACCCGCTATGCTGTCTCTCTGGCCTCAAGAAACGCAGCTAATTTTTGTAAGCAAAGGTTGAGTTTAATCTATTAAAAATGGGGGAGTGTTTGTGCCATGGATCTAGCAGATAACTATGTGGGGAACCAGTCAAGAGCTAGTACTGCACTGAAGGTATTCTCAGGTCAAAGAGCCAAACAGTGGCCTGTGTTCCAGGACAGCAGGTAGGCAATTGGCTCAGATTCTTCAACATTCTAGTCCTTAGTCCCAAGCCCCTCCAGGGACCACTGAGCACAGAGCCCAGGGACCACTGAGCACTGATCACAGAGCCAGCACAGATAAATCGGTGCATAGAAAAAGATCAAAATCCATTTTCCTCTAGACAAAATATTAACTTTGTCTCTTTTGAGATCCATAATCTGACTTTTTTGGGGGGTTGGGGGTGGGAAGTGGTTTGAATTTAATAAAATAATGACATTATAAAATACTAGCCAACACCTTGGCTTTATTTTGAAGTAATGTTACCTCAAGGCTAAATGATCAACAGTAAATAGTAAGGCAGGATATTATAAACCTAGTTATTATAAATTCCATCTATGTTTAAAGTATTCTAAGATAGGGGCTGGAGCAATAGCACAGCGGGTAGGGCGTTTGCCTTGCACGTGGCCAACCCGGGTTCGATTCCCAGCATCCCAAATGGTCCCCTGAGCACTACCAGGGATAATTCCTGAGCACAGAGCCAGGAGGAACCCCTGTCCATTGTCGGGTGTGACCCAAAAAGCAAAAAAAAAGTATTCTAAGATAATTTATTGGTAGTAGTTTCTTTTTCTTTTTTTTTAATCCCCTTACAGGCTGAATGGGATTTTGTGATCATAGATTTTAAAACTTTTTTATTACTTTTTATTTTTAAGTGATCATTATAGTTAGGAAGTTTATATGTTCAACTTCTGTTCTTTCAAGAAACATCAGATAAAAATCATTTTAGCTAGATCTTAATATTGAGGTCTTTTAAAAAAAATGGCAGATGTTATTTTAAAGCAATCTGTTCTGATTTAGTATTCTATCTGTTGATGGCCTAACAGAAGTTTTATAAGCTTTCTTTTTCCCTAACTCAGAAACTATTTGTCAGAGTTCTGGAATATTTCATTAATTTTAGCCATTTAAATATGTTTACAACCTGTTAAAGCAAAAGAAATGTGTATGTGACTTGCAGTAAGCAATATAGCTTTGCTCATATTATCTGATATTTGCCAAAAGAATAAAATCGGAATTGATGAAATCAGCACTTGTTTGTTCAGGTTGTTATTCTTTAACAATGTAGAATTGTTTAGAAATAGATCAAAAGTTATTTTGTTTGAAAATTTCATCCCATATTTTGTCCTCAAATAATTGAAAATAAGACAATAGCAGATTTCCTGCCTCTTTTTGATTTGAGATAAATAGGTGAACATAGATAGTGCTATGCTCCTGATAAAAGCGAGAATAAAACAACCACTGTGAGCATTGACTCTTAGGAAGCACGTTGAAACTTGGAACCTCTTAGAATAACGAAGGTTTATTCGGAGAAACTAATTAGAAGAATAAGACTTGTGGGAATCAAAGAAAAATCATCTGTGTATAAGATTATTATGAGTAGCAAGAGTGAAGTTTGCACACATAAATGAGATTTTTCTGCACAGGTTATTGTAAACAGTGGGTGAGCAGGTTAGTTTTTTCTGAGTATTTTATTTTTTATTGGTAATGCCATAGAAATTAAAGGGTTTTTTTTTTTTTTTTTTTTGGTCTCGTGTTTTCATGGGCTGGAGTGATTGGAGTGATAGAACAGCGGTAGGGCGTTTGCCTTGCGCGCAGCCAGCCCCGCCGAGCCGGGATCGATTACTCCACCCCTCTTGGAGAGCCTGGCAAGCTACCGAGAGTATTCAATATGCCAAACACAGTAACAAGAAATCTCACAATGGAGACATTACTGGGCAAATCGATGAACAACGGGAGGACAGTGGACAGTGTTTTCATGTACATTGAATCTTTCTTTCTCCCTTTCTGTCTCTCTCTTATTTTGGTTTGCTTTGGTGCCACACACATTACATTGCATGCAGTGATGCTCAAGCATTATTCCTGGCTGTGCACTCGGGGATCACTCCTGGCCACACTCAGGAGGACGATCCGGGATGCCGGGGATGGAACTCGGCTGTGTGCAAGGCCAGCACCTACCTACTGCACTATCGCTTCAGACCCTCTTTCTCCCTTTCTGAAATCTTTGAAATGCTCTTTCCATCTCGTGTGGTGGGTGGCGGGTGGAAGGGGGTGTGGAGCAACAAAATTTGTAAGGTTGCTAATTCATTTCCTCGAATTGATTAATCGATTCTCTTTTCCTTTTGCGGTGTCATGAATCGAATCCAGTTACACACGCATGCAAGTGCTCTACCACTGAGTTCCACGTCCTGCTAATACTTTTTCAAGCTAAATTTCGGGGGCATCTTTTCTTACTCTCTCCTACTGCCTCAGTGTGAGAGGTGGCTTCTGCTGGTGGTGCCTCTGAGACCTTGGTCTTACGTCAAACTTGGGTCTGGCCAGGTCCACTTTCTCTCCAGCTTCTATCTTTATTTTTCTTATTTATTTCAATGACCCTTGTTTTGTGCACTCGGGTCTCTGCTGCTGCCTGCTTTAGGGGGGTCTGTGGGGTGACGGGGATTGAACCCATGTGGAGCTGACGGGGGTTGAACCCACGTGGAGTTATGCGCAAGACAAAGTGCTATACCCGCTGTGCTTTACCCCGGTTGGACAATCACCCACTTTTGATAGGAGAAACAAGGATATGAACAGTGAAATGTGTGCTATGTAATTTATGGTAAGTACAAATCCCTGAGCACACAGCTAGGAGGAAGCCTTGAACACTGCCAGTTGCAACCTCCCCAGATAAAATTCAAAAAATAAAAAATGAGCACTGGTGGAGGGATGGGTATTCGATCATTGTATAACTGAAATCCAAGCACAAAAATTTGTAAGTCTACAACTGTACCTCATGGTGTTTCACTAATAAAATTTTTTAAAAAATAAATAAAAAATAAAATAAATAAGCCAGGGTGTCCTGCACATGCGTCACATGTTGGGGGAACCTGAGTGCCATCCCGGGCGTGCCCATGCCCTTTGCCTTGACCCAACGACAAAGAGAGCCGTGACTCTGATTTCTCACAAACTGCTTCCTTCCTGTCGGGAAGTCTGAGCCACTAACTTCCGAGACCCTCAGAATCAACCCGTTTCTCTGCAGACGGCATCTGAGATGCTCCTGGCGCCCGTTGGGAGCCCTCGGGTTCCTCAGCAGTAAGGGGCAGAGGAGAGAGGGACACAGGGCAGGCCATGGCACAGTGAGCAGATGCTGTCACCTTGGCCATCCCCAGAACGATGCTTGCACACGTGAGCTTGGTTAATAAAAAGGGGGCTGTCTCAGTTAAAATATCCTTGAGAGGTGGTGCCTTTTTGTTGGCAAGATTGCCC